CAAAAATCCCCCAAAATTCCCAAAAAATTACCCCCAAAATTCTCCCCAAAAAAACCCCAAAAAAATCCTCAAAAATCCCCCCCAAAAATCCTCAAAATTTCTCCCAAAATTCCCCCAAAATTCCCAAAAAATCCTCCCAAAATTCCCAATTTTTTTTGGGGAATAAAATTCCCAAATTTTCCCTTCCCGGGGGGTCCCAAAATTCGCCTTTTTTGCCCCTCCCCCCCCCGGGGGGTCCCAGTGCCTTAAAGGGGGGGGCTGGGACCCCGGGATGCCCCCACCAGTACAGACCAGTACGGACCAGTACGGACCAGTTTGGACCAGTCTGAACCATTTTGGGTCATTTTGGACCAGTTTGGCCCAGTTTGGACCAGTTTGGCCCAATTTGGACCAGTCTGAACCAGTCTGAACCATTTTGGACCAGTTTGGCCCAGTAACTCTGAGTTCCCTGGACCAGTCTGAACCGGTTTGGACCAGTCCAGACCAGTTTGGACCAGTTTGGACCAGTTCCCTGCCTGATATGGGACCAGTATCCCCCAGTTCCCTGGACCAGTTTGGACCAGTTTGGACTCGCAATTCCCAGTTCCACGGACCAGTTTGGACCAGTTTGGACCAGTAATTCCCAGTTCCCTGGACCAGTTTGGACCAGTTTGGACCAGCTTGCTCCAGTTCCCCAGACCAGTATCCCCCAGTTCCCTGGACCAGTTTGGACCAGTTTGGGCCAGTAATTCCCAGCTTCCCTGGACCAGTTTGGACTCGCAATTCCCAGTTCCCTGGACCAGTCCAGACCAGTTTGGGCCAGTCTGGACCCAGAATTCCCAGTTCCCTGGACCAGTTTGGACCAGTTTGGCCCAGTTCCCCATGACCAATCCATTCCCAATCCATTCCCAGTCCATCCCAGTCCATCCCAGTTACCGAACGCGAGGGGGGAGGGGGGGGCTGGGATCATTGGGAGCCCCCCCGGGACCGCCCAGGCCCCGCCCCTTTAACAAGCCCCGCCCCTTTCCCATTTAAACCACACCCCTCTCCAAACCACTCCCCTTCCCGGTCAGGCCACGCCCCCATTTCAACAAACCACGCCCCATCTTTAAGCCCCGCCCCTTCCGCGCCAAGCCCCGCCCACCCCGGCCTGGCCCCGCCCCCCGCATGCGGATTTTTACGGGAATTTCGCTCTTTCCAATAAAAATGAAGCGTGAAAAATCGGGAATTTCGGAGGGGGAGGGGCCTCTGGGGACTTTTGGGGGTTGGGGGAGGGGGTTTTGGGTGGTCGGGGCCGTTTCTGGGGAATTTTGTGGGAAAACGGGACTTTCTGGGCGGAATTTTGGGAATTTGGGATCATTTGGGGACATTTTGGGGACCTGGAAGGGACACGCAGAAATCCAGGGTATTTATTAATATTAATGAAGCTCATTAATATTAATAAGCTCATTAATATGAAGCAGGGAACAGATAAAAGCCAATCAAAGGGTCAAGTCCCGCCTCCTCAGCGATTTCCCCCTTGCTATTGGCTGAGCTGGCTGTCATTCATAATAAACCCCGCGGCCACACCTTAGACGCTCTGAATTGGCCAACGCTCCTGCCAATCACGCAGCCGCACGTTCTCATTGGCCACCGCTTTGAGCCCGCCCTTCTCTGCCTGCTACTGGTTGCGCCGCCTGTCAATCATCGCGAGCCCTGCGCTGATTGGCGGAATCGGCGGCGGGGGGCGGGAGCAGCCGTGTGGCGGAGCCGGAGCGGGCCCGGGGCCCGGCGGGGCGGGCGGAGCGGCCGAAGCGGAGCAGCCCCGGCCCCGCCATGGAGGACGGAGTTTACGGTGAGGCCGCCGAGGGCTGAGGGGAGCGGGGCGGGAACCGGAGAGCGAGGCGGGAACCGGAAAAAGGGCGGGAA